TTGATAAATATTTGAATGGTAAGAGTTGACTATGAGTTGTTTTTTGTTTATTTTAAAGTTTAGTTTAGTAGATGGTGCAGTCTAGGTGGACCAGCAGGTCCGTAATTGTCTTTAAATTATATTTACATCTATAACATATACAATTTGAAGATAAAAAGGGACCTATTGGTCCATCTAGGCCATCCCATCTACTTTTTAAAAAAAAGGCAGCATGTGTGTTTCTTAAAGCAAAGCCACATCGGGCTATCTGCTGTGCCCACGAGGAGAGTTGAACCCCTGATTTTAGCGTTGTAAGTCCGAAGACTTACCCCCTGTCCCACTGGGGGACAAAAAGCTAGCCCTTATCATTCCAATATTTATCAATCCTTCCCTTAAAATACATTAAAACTTGAAACCGACAAACAAACAAAATACTTTTAACAGAAGATGACTCATACCTAAGTCTATTCGTATCTCAGTACATTCCGCCCGGCATGGCCAGGTGGTTAGAATGCTCGACTCGCAATCTGAGGGTCGCGAGTTCGAATCCCCATCACACCAAACATGCTCGCCCTTTCAGCCGTGGGAGCGTTATGATGTAACGGTCAATCCCACTATTCGTTGGTAAAAGAGTAGCCCAAGAGTTGGCGGTGGGTGGTGATGACTAGCTTCCTTCCCTCTAGTCTTACACTGCTAAATTAGGGACGGCTAGCAGAGATAGCCCTCGTGTAGCTTTGCGCGAAATTAAAAAAAAACAGCAATTAATGACTGTTTGATGGTGGAAGGGAAAATAGTATTATAGTGAGTATACAATATCTACAGTGAAGCAGATAGTGAAGTGTCAGCACCAATTTAGGATTGCATCTCAGTCAGTAGTGTCAATAATCAACAAAAAAGTGAAGGCACCCTGACTAGTGACAACTATATGCACAATATGATCTATTAATCAATTGAGTCAAGCGAGCAGTAGGCACTGTAAGTAAAGTATGTGAATCGCTGCGAATTATAGCGTATGTTTATAAAAAA